AGCAAACTCAGGGAGGCAGTGAAGGACAGGAAGGCCTTGCGCAATATGGTTCATGGGGTCATGAAGAGTCGGACACAACTTAACTGAACAACAAAAAATTGAGGTTTCCAGCACAGGATACATACCAGAGCCCTGAGTAATGTAACTGCATCAGAAAATGCTCTAGCACCAAGTGGGAAGGGACTCTTGAGGCTATCCAGAGCTCCCCCCCCCTCACATGCAGGATTCCAAATTAAAATGTTCCCAATTCTTCAAATGTACCAATTTAAGCATTGCCTGCAGTAAGTCTTCAATATGTTCCAAAGCAATAAAAATACAGGGTACAAGTTCTTCGCATCAACAAGCTGTATTGTAATATTTACCCAAGGCTTTGGAATTTATCAGCAGGAACCCCTGTAGTGTTTTATTTGTTCCTTTGTGACATTGTTTTAACTGTTTTATTTTGATTTGTCTCACCCAAAGATCTACAAACGAAGTACAGGCAAGAAATATTCTGGTAATAAACAAACAACATTTTCTGCTTTTGTTCTTTAATATCCAGCAGCTTACTTCAGAAAGTACACATGTAGTCAGTCACTATAACACCTTAAAGTGCAGAATTATTTTAAAGGAGTGTAAAGCTGAACATTCTCCACGTTGTTTTTCTTGGCCCAGAAGGGTACCCTGCTGCTTAGCCTATCACAAAGGTGGCATTCAAGTGCAGCTGATTCTGAACTGGCCCCCATTTGGACTCCTTCACTACCCCTGTGCATCTCTGGGCTTCCACCGTAACAGGCCCTCGCAGGCTTTTCTGCAGGGAAGCCTCCGGCCAGGTCGCCAGGTGCATCTCCAGAAAAAAAGCCCTGCCCCGCAGACGAGTTTTCACTCTAAAGTCCTCCCCAGCCAAAGCCCGGGAGAAACGGCCTGGCCTGGCCATTTAGCCCGGATCAGGACGTGCTGAGGGCAAAATGAAGACGACGGAGCCCAACCCCAAGAGCCAACAGCCCCACGAGGCTCTCGTCTCTGCCCCGGCAGCCCACGACGGGGCTGGCCTCCTGCTTGTCCTCTCCTCCGGGGCTGCACAGCATGCCCTGGCTGGCTGATGGTAAAGAACCCCTCATTGATCGGGCCATTAACTGGGGCTCAACCCCTGAATCAGACATCACCAGATTTCTGGGCCTGTGTAACACGCCGAATTCGTAAGTGATCCACTTCAGCGTGCACTGCACTGCACACCCAGGGTTGGCACACTCGCACAGCACGCTTAGCCCCAGCCCCAGGCTAACGAAGCTTAACTGCTACCTTCACAGACACGCTACGCCCAGCTGGCGAAGGCACAAGCCCCGTGAGGCGGCGCCCCTGCTCACAACGGCGCGTTACGGCCGTTACCATCAAACCCAATTTGAGCCTCACCAGAGGTTCTGAAACTTTTTCAGGCCGTGCAACCTGTCGAAGGGACACAAAACTGTTTGAGTGAACCGTATGTTTCGGGGAATCCGAAGCCCAGGACTCTGAAAG